CTAGTTGCTTCATAATCAAATAACTTTATTTGCAAAAGATCACTTGGTCCTTTTGATATCTTGACTTTAACCATTTTTCTGTTTTGATTAATAGACTTAAACCACACTTGGTGTAATCATGCTAAATTTGCATTGGCTCTGTTTGAGATTTCTAAATTTGGAACCTTGGCTCCCCTGACCCAAGTTTAACAGCATTTCCTACGCTAACTCAATGTTGTGTAATTTTTTTTAATAGGATCCTCTGTGCTAACGCTTCTCTATTTTAGTGGAATTAGATGAAATGATATGGGGAAAAAGTGGTCTTCTTAATGTAGGATCTTACTTAAGCAATAACTTTTTTACATATTTGGTGGTTTAATGTTTGAAGGATGATTAGAGGTCAAAAGTTCTATTGAGAATATATTAAGTTTAAATCTTAGGATTTTATGATAACGAAAACAAAAAGGTAATAAATTGTTAAATGCTATATCTGATCTTTTAATGAATTTTATTCCATTAAAGTTGAAAATGAACACTCCGTCTCAAAATCTCAAATGCCTTTTAATGAATTTTATTAAATGACTAAAATGCCAATCACATAAATAAGTCCTAATTGCATCATTTGGACACAAATTCATGAATCACTGACCATTATAAACTCCTTTTGCACCTTTTCATCCCCTCCAACCACCAATCATTTAAGGTTAGTGTTTTTTTAAGCTTCCAGATTTGTTAACTGATTATTTATTCATTCGACACCCAAAATGCTTAAAAGAAATATTGGTTCATTGATTGCCTTTAATTTGTTTGGTATTTCTGAAACCCTTAAACCATCTTTCAAAATCAACAGTGTTTATGAGTGAAACTCAAAAAAAACACTGTTGTTGTGCATCAATTTACCATTGTTGTGCATTTGTAGTAAGTATTTGTGTGTTTTTTGAGTTAGAGTTAAAGGTGTAAGGTTAAGGTTTCCTGCATGTATGGTTCGTGAAATAATTACAAATGAAATAAAATAGCTATTCTGCGAAAATAAAACAAAATAATTATTTTTAATTTGATGTGACGAATAAAATAGAGTAAAAATAGTTATTATAGCTTATTATAATATTTGGTTGGTAAAAATAACTTTGGAATAAGAAAAGAATAGAGGATAAAATAATAACAATATTATTTATTGTTTATATTATTATTTATTTTTATTTTTATTTTAAATATTAATATATTATTTATAATTTAATCATTAATATTATAAAATATTAATATATTATTTATAATTTAAATGTTATTACGATTATTTATTTTATTTTTAACTATTAATATTTTATAATTTATTTAAAATATTAATATTTTGATAATTTAAATATTAATATTTTATTAATAATTTAATCATTAAAATTTTAAAATATTAATATTTTATTTATGACTTAACTATAATTATTATTAAAATATTAAACTTTTAATTAATTTTTAAACTCAAAATATTTTTTAATATATAATTGAAAACATAAACTCTTTATTATAATAAGATTTATTTTCATAAAAAACAAAAATACTCTTTATATAATTTAGTAAAATTTATACCAAACGATAAAATTAAGTAAATTTTTTCTTTTTTTATCATTTAATTTTTATGTTTATTAAAATTAAAATTTAAACAATTTAATAATTTATTATTAAGTATTAGAATATTTTTTATATTTTTTTAATTTATATGTTCACTTAATAATTTTAAAATATTAATATTTTATTTAAAATATCAAAGGCATGCTGGTGCGATTTGGTATCAGAGCCATATCCGGATCAAGAGGTATTTATTTTGACTGAAAGTTTTTGATTTCAATTTTCTTTTCTGAGTTCTGGTTTTAAGTGATTGAATGCATATTGTGTTAATTCTTGCTGAGTCCCAGAGAAACAGTCCATTAGGAGCCGAGGTTAGGCATTGTTATGACACATTTCTCCTTGTAGGCAGAATTATTACAGTTATCATCAAACACATAGAAACCCACATATGTAGGAAAAGAAAATCTGTAACTCAAAATGTTTCCTTTCTTAAGAAACACCTCCTATTCTAGTTCTGATTTTAGTATTCAAAACTCAGAAGTCAATCAGGAAAATGTTTATTATGAAAATATAATCCAAGAAATTGATAATTGAAAGATACCTATGGTTCCCCAAACTAAATTTATAAAACATCAACATTTCATGCATTACGTTTAAACTCCTTTTGCGGATACCTTATACAAACCAAAAAAAAGAGAACTCCCATACAAAACCAGTATGAAAACATTCCATTGTTGGATCAAGAAACTATAAATAAATTAAGAACTCAAAATTATAAATACATTCACTTTGGATTAATCCAAGTAGGAGCAAAACAATTAACCAAAGAAGGGTTAGACACCTCAATATTAATTATTCTAAGAGATAAAAGGCATCTCCAATTTAATAATTCTTTGTTAGGAATAATAGAAACGAATCTGTGCAGAGGACCAATACATTTCAATTGTTTTCCAAATTTTATGGTTTCATTAAAAGACAAAAATATATTAAATTTTTTAACACTTCAAATACAAACACATAATTATAAAATGTTGCCTGGATCTGAACCTTTAACTGTTGTCTACAGATTATATTACAAAGCAATGTATTCTGTAATAAACACTAAAGCTTTAATCCACAGTCCTAAAGGAGAAACCTTGTTAATTCAAACAGACATGACTAGGTCCCATACCGTCATACCTAGAACAATACAATGGCATGAAGTCTAACTTCCAAATAGATGAAAACATATCTCAATATGGCTAACATTGAGGATTCATAACTTATTGTAATTTGTTGTAACATATCTCAATATGGCTAACATTTTCTAAGAATTGTTGATTCACTGTAACAGTGAAGTGCTAACCATAAGAAATGTTGATCCCGATCAATATTCTATCATAAAGTTGACCAATGACATATTGAAGGTTTGGTTGATGATTCCACTATTGGATAAGAATGGTTGTAACCATTAACGCACAGCATCTATAGTCTAAGGAATTATTTAAGTTGAGAACCGATAAGAATGTGCTCAAGTTGTTTGAAATTTATCAAGGTTGCAAGTAGATTCATCTGTACTTAGATCTTATACTTGCAATTCCTCTACGAATAATGAATTCTGTATCAAGCAAATATTCTATCAATGTTAATAAAGTTAATTGCTTAGATGAAAATATGCATGTTGCTTTAAATGTTGATGATGTAAATATTAATGCCACTAGGAACGTTGATGATAACGTAAATATTGATGATGTGCCTATTATAAATGGTACCCGTATAAGAAGAGTTTCTAGTTTAGAGAGAGGAAGAGGTAAAGGTAAAGACAAAGGCAAAGTCTAAGATAAAGTTGGTTTAGGTAGCCCTAGCAGTAAAGATTCAACTATTGTTGGTGGTGCCAATGTAAATAATGGTAGAGGTAAAAAATCTGTTGACCTTGGTGCTAATACTTCAACTAGTGATGGGGGTTTCAGCAATTTAGATGCAAGTTCTATTGTTTTTCAGGGGACATTAATTTGGTAAAAGAAATTGATGTCTTTACTGAGGATATTGATTCAATGCTTAAGACTCAGAGTGAAAAAAAAAAGTCGATCAAAAGGCAATGATAAGGGGAATGTTGAGGATAGGGCTACAAATAGTAATGTTGATGGTTTCTTTAATCTTGGAAGTGATGTTGAGAAGAGTAATCAAGCTAGTTTTGATCCTGATAAGGAGGGTAATGCTATTTATAGGTATATGACAAGCATTCCTTATGCACCTGATGAGTGTGGAAATGTGAGATTGGCCAAGAATATGTATTTTAACAGTGTTAGTGACTTTAGAGGTTATGATAGACTATATGATATAAGAAAGAATTGAATTATATAGAACTACGAATAAGAATACTAAGTATAAGACATACTGTGAAGGGAATGGTTGTAAATGAATGATTCATGCATCAATCTATTTGAATAGAAAGACATTCAAGATTAAAAGGCTCATGAGTGAACATAGTTGCATTAGAATCAACAATAACCATGTTGCTACAACAAGTGCGTAACTAACCAAGATGCTAGGTGCTCAGTTGCATTCTGAGCCCAATATGTCTTACAACTTACTGCAACATGAATTGACTCAAAAGTTTTCAATTTCCCATTAGAAATTAACATCAGACGTTAGGCATTTGGACAACTTACAATTTACTACAACTCAGTCTTGGTGGCAAGAGGATTTCAATACCCAAAGTATTATGGCCGTGAGATTTTAGCATTTAAGGCAAAAAGGTATATCAATCTTCTTCCTATTAGTTAGAACCGTCAATATTAAACAACTAAAGGTTTATCTTGTTAATGAGAAATTTTAAATATTCCATTGTATATGTAATTCGATTGCATAAAATTTCCGGATGATGGTATCAAAGGCTCCTTTGAACATGTTTAGAATAGAATTATGTTTAATTGCTACTGATTTCAGTATAAATTGATTGTATATTTGATTTAATGCAAAAAAAATTTTAGAAAATTTTCAAAAACTGTTTTGAAACTGTTTTTTGAAATCTGGATAGTAAGCTGTCTTGTTTTCTTTTTTGGCTTGTTTGGTTGTCAAATTTGTGCATATGATGCACAAACTTGTAGGCAACACATGGCAGCAAGTTGAGATTGATTTGATGGAACTCATGGGGACTTGTTCATGCCGCAAAAGAAAAACATATGAACTTAACTTAGTGCAACAGGCAGTTTCCTTTGTTGTATGATACATACATTTTTAAACGTTAGCAAAATCATATTAATATTAAGGATTACCTCTAGTCTCTTCATCATGATTTGCACACTAGAACTGGCACATGATCAGGCATTATTAAACCTGCAGAACCACCAAAGGAGAGATCCCGTACTACTTTGTCAGCAAATGTGACGTTCTATCAACCTTCAAAAGTAAATTGTACAATTTTCAGAAAAAAAAAATGTAAATTGTACAAGATTACCTTGGTTACATTCTCCTTTATTTTAAGACCTGAAAATATTTGCTTGAAGAAAATGAAATCGATTGAACAAATGTATAATGAGAGCAGATCATTTCCTACAGCAAATAGGAAGCAGTTTGAATAGCAAGGAACAATCAAGGTGCTGCTTCCACCTCCATTGCTACCTAAATGGATATAACTGAAAGCATCAATACAAATAATCAAATTAAACAAATACAGCTCCACAATATGTTTGAAACTATATGGGGAAGAGTACCTTGGTTACATTCTCCTTTGATGTAAGAGCAGCAAATATTTGCTTTAAGAAAATGAAATCTATTGAATAAATGTATAATAAAAGCAAATCACTTCACATAGCAAAAAGGAAGCAGTTTGAATAGCAAGGAAGAATCAAGGTGCTGTCTTCCACCACCATTGGCTGCCTAAATGGATTTAACTGAATCTACAGGACAGAAGCAACAATACCTCAAATTAAACAAATATGGCTCCACAATATGTTTGAAACTATATGGAGAAGCAGGTGGGAAGAGGCAATGGAAGGGGGATGTTAGGAGGGGGAGAGTGAGAGAAGAAGCAGCGATGTGAACATACAGGAAGTCTGAGAGGTTGGCTTGTCACAGTGTTTATGCAGCAAGCTGCAAGATGACAAGCTTCTTCACAATAATCAGAAAATACCGCAGGGACATTTATCTCCTTCAGTAGCTCCTGAAATGCTCATAAAAGAAATGGGAAAAACTTACTGAAATTCTCAAGCAGAAAGGACTGTATAGACTTAAAAGCTTTCTGTGTTATACTACAAACATAAATGGACACTTGTAGCGAACACTATGAATGATAAAGTGAAAAAAACTTGGGGTATATCAAAGACATACTATAGTTGGTAACCAACTTGTATAAGCTGCAATGCCAGCATTCGGAGCAATAACTAGATGGGGGAAGGAATTCTGTCACAGAACAAACATTCACAAGAAATGGCAATAGGCTAAGCCAATCAGATGAGAAAATTCCCAAGATGACAAGCTTTGAATGAACAGAAGGGGAACGGACAAAGTAACAAACAGGTATGAGAAAGAAACAGAGACCTCAGATATATCTCCGAAACGATCATGATAGAATCCTCTATGGAGCTGCAGTGTGACTGCAGAAGATATACAAGTGCCTATACCACAGCTGGTGCTCTCATTTTCAGATTTGCAGCTGCAATCTTTCTCAATGCAATGAGCATAGCTGTACAGATCAATCTTATCACCATCCCTATTCATCAAATTGAAACAGGAAGCTTCAGAAATGCCCAGCACAAGTTTGAGTTAAGCCATCAATCATCAAAAGTTGGAACATTTAGAAGAATAATAAAAGACCAAAGATCAGTTCCGAAAACAGCACCTGCTAGCTCAAATTACTTGCAAGAGAAAAATTTTAACAGTTCAAAGAGAAAGAGCCTATTTCTGATCAGGAAATCAGAACAAAGCAACCTGATCAATCCCAAGTCAACCTAGATATCATGACAACTAAGACTAATCAGAGACATAATGAATTGTAATCTAATGCAAGCAGACAATTGAATTGATTCCCATCCAAACCAACTAGTTTGCCTCGCACTTATAGCCCAGAGAAACCAAAATTAAAAGTTCAACAAACACTTAAGCGTAAGACCAACCTATGCTGCGGTACTGCAGGTCCAATAAGCTCAATATGGACATGAACCCCAGGAAAGAGTGCACGCAACTCTCCAAAGACAGCAAGTTGAAGGAGCTCTTTCTCAGGCCCTTTGAAAGTACAAATCACAAAGAAAACCTTAAATTTAGATAAACCTAACTAGGATATAGAAAGAAACCATGAGGAAGGTTACTGGTATTATACAAATGTAAATGAAAGTTTTTCATACATATAACACTAGCAGAATATATTAAAAAGAATAACAACAAAAAATAAATAGACAGCTCTGAAAAATTAGAGTACTCTTTTTGATGCATTATCACTTAATTGTAATATCCACTCTTTTCATTGAAAATCATCAGCAAGTGTTTGGAATCTAATGATCATTATCCCCCTAGCCGATCAAACACCTAAAGGCATGCACACCTCTCCTACAAGTGGTAAAGTTTCAAATTACAACGCATGGAGATTTAAAAGTTGAAAATCATAGTGTACCGAGATAGTGAATGCGCAGTTTACTAACTTCAAAGGTCAAGCTTCCTAATCCAGCAATTTGAATGGCATGATACACTGTAAGGGGCTGAGACAAAAACAAACAAATAAATATATATAATTAGTGCTAATATGAGGCAAAGTAAGAGAAGAGACAAATGAATATCTGTCTATGCTAGCTATAGCTATCTACAAAATATAGCATTTACTGAAGTTTGCATTTGAATTCAGTGATTGATTGATTTCCTTTAACCAAGTTTCTAACTTTTAGTCATTAAAATAATTGTTTTAGAATTTTATCAGAGCAGAAGATAGAACAAAAACCTCTCAAATTCAGGAGTAGGAGTAACAGCTAAGAGTTGTTTCTTAGTTATTACTCATACATAGGTATAAAGCACCTCAGAAGTTGAAAGATGTAAATCAGAAATGAAAGAAACAAATAAAATATCATCCTCAATTTCCACTGTGCAAGGATAAAGAAATTGCAGTTAAAAGATGTACCATAAACACCAGTTGATGATTAGAATTGAAAAGTTTATACTATGAACTGATTTTAAAACATGTCACACAGCTCATACCCAGTGAAGAAGCAAAGCAACAGGTGAATGTAGTGGTATGCACCTCCATTCGTAGTAATCCTTCCAAGTGCACAAAGATTTTCCTATTGGAGATGAAGGCCCTGCATTATCACACAGTCAATGCCTGAAACATCCATTAAACCAAACCAAAAGCTAGAAGCAAAAGAGATACCACGACATGGGCACAGGATACTTGAGAAATTCCAGGTATTATTTTCGGGCCTGCAAACAAAGTTTTTAAAGAGAAAAAAACAAGTGACAAAAATTTTCAATCTGAGCTGCCATAAGTTACCAACTGGCTTAATTAGAAACTTCTGTTATTTAAAACGTATAAATTCTCATCTAAATTAAAGCTAAGGAAACTCCATAGAAAATCCAAACGATACAAAGGTAAAATGCACCAATTGCTGCCACTTTTATTGTTTATGCAACACTCTTTTCATACTATAATCAATTATATGAATTGCATTAACCTTGATATCCCCCTAACGGATCATAAACTCTGCCATTCAGGAACAGAAACATATGAGATGTCTCACCTTTCACCAAGTTAGCCACAGCCTTTTAATTTCAGTTAGCTTTATTACGTTTTTATCCTTACAAACAAAGTCGAATCCACCAACTGATCCACACATTTAATGTCAAGGAAATAATAATAACAGAGATAAAACCATCCCCTAAGAAGCTTCTAGGGAATATCTACTCTATTTACACTCACAGCAGGGGGTAAAACTCTTGATTTGGCAAGGGCTATCATCACCAATAAACATAAGAGATGAGAGAAACCTGGAATAATTGAAGGATGTAATGGATGCCCCGCAACAGCATTCACAAATCCACATTCCCACTTGATGAATGCCCCTCTTGCTCAAGAAGGAGCACCTGCTCTCCTGCTTTTCATTAATCTACCAAAACCACCGTCCAAACGAGCATATAATTAAGTCCAGTAAGTTTAATAAAAGTTTAATTGCAATTTTCCTTACTATGTTGTAAACATGCATATATACATAGTGAGATTTGAAAATCATTCAAACTGGCCCATCGAGCTACTCTTATCTTTGACTTGTTCAAGCTGATTTACTGCAATTTTATCCTGAATACCATATATCCCTTGAAGCAAGTGGGGCAGTTACCTGAAGTGTAGCTTCTTGAGAAAACGTGAAAGGAAAATCATTCACCAAATCTAAGCGTTTCATTTGCTGCTCCAGCCTATCGCACTCTTCTCTATGTTCCTTCCAGTGCGAAATCTAGGTGCAATTGGATTCCAAACAAAAATTAACTCAAAAGTAGAAATAACAACTTGGCAGATAATATGCTGAAAATATATATATATTCAAGCACCTGATGAGATGCAGAGCAATAAGCAACGGCTCCGCAGCGACCGCATCGTTTTCTGGGCGGGCCTAAGCACCGAGTTCCTCTCCCCTTCCCGGCGCACTCCATGGAAGCTTTTGCTGTTTTCTGTTTGTTTTCCCAGTTTCAGAAAGCTGAAGCCTAAATAGTAAGCGACGATGGTCGTTTTGGGCTTTCTTAAAAGGCCCCCATGTCCTAACGAGTATGAAGCAATAATATAATTAGGCCCCGCCATACTCCATCAACATTTTGGACTGCCATCGACACAGAGACAACATCCGCCCTTTTGTTTTGCGTGTTATGAAATTAGCAAGCCATTGATCTTTAAGGTGTCCATGGTGGGTTTTTTTTCATTTCATAAAATTTTAAAAAAATTAAATTATTTTAAAATTTTTAAATAAATTTTTATTTTGAGACATATAAGTTTTTATAATTAATTGATAAAAATATTATTTGTTATTTTATATCATATAATGCTAATATGTCATATTAACATGCAATAGTAAGTGGTTACGTGATATATTAATATAGCATAACTATATAATCATATGTATTTTTCACTCTCCATGATAATATCATGTAGATATAAAATGATAACTAATATTTTGACTAATTATAATTAATCAACCATTAATCATAAAAATCTATTTGATCGAAAATAAAAATAAAGAAATTTGATTGAATACAATAGAAAAATAAAGAATTATATAAATACTTTTAATAATTGAGGAACTTTTTAAGATATTATGTTTTTTGGAAAGGGTTTTCAAATCTTACGTTTTGAATTATATATAAAAATATAATAACTTTGTCACCATAAAAAAAATATTATTGTGCCTTTTAGTTTTTTTATTTTGTTATTATTTATAATATTAAAAATTACATAAATATATATAATTCAAACACTAAATGTTTAGATATTTAAATTTTGAGTCACCTAATTAAGGACAACATTTAAGCAAAAGTAGAATTTTACTAATCATATAATAGCACTGCAGAACATGAAATAAGTTTCTAGTCATTTATATATTTTTTTTTGGCATAATGGTCAAATAAGTCCCTAAACTATGTAACAAAATTCAAATAAGTTTTTTTTTTTTTAATCAAGTCTCTATATTTTTATTTTATATCAAATAAACTTTATACCTAATAATTAATTAATTGTTGTTGATCAAAATCGCACTTATGATTTTATATCTACATGACATTGATATGATATTGATGTGACATGTAAAAAATATTATATAATTATGTTATCATGTTAAATTAATATATCACTTTATCATCAGTTATGATATGTTACCGAGTCATATCGTTATCAATTATAATATATTAATATATCACGCCAGCTCCATACGACATAGAATAATAATGGGTATTTTGATTAAGTCAATAATTAATTATAAAAATTAATTTAATTTAAAATAAAAATATAAAAATTTGATTGAACGTAATAAAATTATAACAGTTTATTTATATTTTCCTAAATAATTTAAGAATTTTTTTAGATATTATACTTTTTTTATTTTTCTTGTATTTGTTTGAATCTGAAAACTTGAAATTTTGAATTTCAAACCTTGACCAACATAATTTCCTATCTTAGTCAAAAATATATTAAAAAGAAAAGCAGGATATTTTCGTTGGGAAAAAGGTTTTATTTATTTATTTATTTATTGAACCATTAAAGCAGTAGCTATTAAGGCCAAATTGTGTTGAATCTTGGTAGTAAAAAAACTTATCAAATCTTGAGTTATTTAAGGTGAGCATTTGATGGGGGGTGACTCAACAAGCAAAAGATCAAATCTTCTCTATGCTTCCTTAGATCATTACATGGAGGTTTTGGTAGCAAGATTCATTTCCGCCACCACTTCCTAAGAATCAAATCAAACCTAACCTGACATCTGGTAACATAAAGTAGTTCCCAAGGCCATATTTCACTGGTTAATAGGAAAGAGACAAAATTATCTGGGGAGAATTTCGCCGGCCACCCAATAAAAGTTCCCAAATATTTATTAACTAGCTAGGATAATGCTTTTAATTTATAGGAAATTTGAAAGCAAAAATGATATCCCAAGGCAAGGCATCTGATGACTCCTAATCTTGATTGACATCAATGCTCTTTAAAATATTATACCATATCCTCAGTTGGTTTTTTGGGGCGATAGTGTTTGAAAAGAAGGGAAGAAGTCTTGATTACTTGTTCGGCAAAAGGGAGAAAAGATCCCTGGCCCCTATTCAGAAAATTTGGCTAGTACAAGAAACAGGGAGAAGAAGAAGAAGAAGAAAAAAAACAGAGATGCCTCCAAATCACACTCAATTTTGAAAAAGGAGATGCCAAATCTTCTAAAAATAAGAGGGATCATTCACACGCTCATTGCTTTCTGGCCTTCAAAGTTTATGAAAAGATTATTTATACCTCTTAATTAGAACTCCATTCTATTTCCTTTTCACTACCTTAAGGTCTATGATTCCTTTTTGAACCTTCAAATGTTTATGTGGGATCTGATCCATTGGTTTAGTAAGTTCAGTTGGTCGGCCATGACCTACACCATCCTCTCATGTATGAGCTATATATCTCCTTTATGGAACCCAAACAAAAGGGACAAAAATAATTTAGATATATCCAAAAGTAGAAAGTGTTAATTTAAAAGGTCTTTTTTTTTTGTTCTCATACTTTTTACATATTTTGTTAACATTAAGCACATATCGAGTTTAAAATATGATTATAGTATAAAGCTTTTTTTAATATATTATTATTAGGAACTCCATAAAATATCAATAAATGTAATTAAAGATGACTTTATTTTATAAATTCAACTTAACAATTCCTAACATTTTAGTGTTTTTCATATAATTTTTAGCAATGTAAATAAAGTCTTTTTTTTTAATTTCAAATTATTGTTAACATTATCTCTACCAACCAAAATTTCATGTGAAGAAGGTTTGTAAAGCCGCTAAAAGTATATAATTATATATATACATTAATGTGAAAGACTGGTTGACCAAAGGCCTGCAGCACAGAAATTAACACCCATAGCTTTAAATTTTAGAAAAATAAAGGGTAACTTAGTTCATAAAAGGATTTACACATTTTTAATGAAATTATTGAAAGAGTCGATCAAGACGCAATGGTCGGGGATCAGGGACCCCACACACTCATGTTTACTTTGCTAAGCAAGATAAAAAAGTAAACGAGGCAATAAAAATTCGTGGGTCCTAAAGGCCCAATCCTCAGATTCTGTTTGACTAAAAGGGAGGTAGATATATAGTAGTATATTTATTGTAATCATATTTCCTGGAGCCAAGCTTTGGTTTGTTTAGCTTTGCTTTGTTTAGCTTTGCTTTTCATGATTTTAAGTCAACCAGTTCTTTATACTAACTTGGAAATTGCTGTTAAATCTTTTTATAATTTTCTTTATAAATTAAACACTAACGGACCACATAAGATTTTATAAATGGCGTTCATATGAAATGGGTGTTTGAATACGCAGCAAAAGAGAAAGAAACAATCTTCACGTTTGACGGTCCTTTCGGTGCTTTCATTAAAGGGCTTGGGGGTTGGGTTTGGGTTGTCGTTGCTGATCCATTTGAAAGTTGAATAAATTAAGAGGTTTTTGGTGTTGGAGAAGAAAAAGAGAGGGAGAGAGTGAATTGCTCCAACCATTCTAAACTCAAGAGATTTCTATTCTAAGCCAAGCCGAAAACAGTGGCCTACCAGCTAATATCAGCGAAAAAATTCAAAACGTCACAAGACCTGCCGGCCTAGTTGGCTATATGTCCTTAACCTATTCAAAAATAACTCTCAAATTAACTTGATTTGTCCAAACTATACCCTTCCTTTTAGGTGTAGATAATAAAGAGGATGGTACAATTAATTTAGACATATAATTCTTGCTCAAAAGCCTCAAAGGCTAGAGACCCTTTATTCACCATGATCTAATCCAAGTTCAAGTATGGATGCATGTTTGATACACCACAAGCTTAGCAAAGATTAAGTGATTCGAGGACTTACAAAAAGGTAGAAAGAATGTTGGTAGCATGTACTTTGCATTTTCGGATATCGTTTGAGTTTTGGTATAGGATACGCAGCTCGTGATGGTACAAGAAGAAGATTTTAATTTCACAAACATGCCTTGCAAATCCCCATTACAGTGTTAAATTAAGATACAACATAATTTCATCAACTGCTATAAAATCATATTTGTTAGAGATATGGGTTTATAAAAAAACAGTGATATGGATCTTTTTATTAGTATCAAATGAGAATAAAAAAAAGAGAAGTCTTTGAAAAATTGAAAGGCAGCAAATCGAGTGAAATCAATTCGGGCATGAGTCAATGTCATATTCAATCAAGTAAAATCTCAACAACCTCACTCAATTTGTAGAGAATAATTACTGATACGCATGTCTACCAAAACAAAAAGAAGGATGATTTCACACTGCAACAATTTCTTAACTCTTAAAAGGGAAGAGATACTAATTTATTTTTAAATAATAAAAAAAAGAGAAAAATTACTCATTAGCACGTGCTTGTGAGTTGTGATTGAATGGCAAACAGCAAATTGAAAGAGGGACCACGTACCTGTGACAAGCAAAAGCGGAGAATTTTCCAGGGGGCTGCCGCGATAAATTTAACTCGGGGTAAATCAGACCTGTGCATACTCACCCCACATTTTTCACAGCGCACCGCACGGTTTTAGTGTTTTGTTAAAGTCAGGGTTACACGGCGGCTTGAGGTAAAAAAAAAAGAAGAAAAAGTGAAAAACTGGAATGACAAAACGTCACGTCGCTTGTGAGAACAGATTTTACCCACAGTGGTAAACTTTTTTGTCTCTTGACCTGGCGAGATGAGATGGCGAGATGAATCCTCATTGGAAAGACAATTCAAGGCGATCTCCAAGATTTGATGTGCAGTGTCTGAAAGTTTTGAAAACGTAGGAAAAGTCCAAGCATAAAAAAAGGGTGGGGGAGTTTTGTTGGACCCCACTCCCAGATTTCCTTGGGACTCCCAAATCTCCACATTCTCTCTCTTGTCGTGTTGGCTTCTGGCAACCATTTCAATTCCGATACAGATCCTTCCCGTTTTGCGTTTTTAATGTTCCTTATGCAATGGATGACATCAATCCATGTCCTTATCCCACCAATCCATATCTTCTCTTTTTCCCTTCTTTTCTCGTTTGGAATTTCAAATCACCTTTCCATACCCTCTTCATTTACGCATTAATAAATTACTTTAATTTGCCATCTCAATTTATGGAGCCTTAGCCTTAGCCTTAGGTGGAGCAAAGTCAGTGCAAACTAAACGCAACCTGTTCTAGTGATTTAAAATAATTATTATAATAACATCAACTTAGTCTCATAAATTTTAGGAATGAAAAATTTAAAATGATAAAGCAAAAGAAAACTAAGAAAAATCTCAACCTTTGAATAATACAAGCACAGTTCATTAATAGCACTCAAAACAGAGGGTAGGATAATCAAATTCATTAAGAATTGAAATTGAAATTGAAATTGAAATCGAAATTCTTCAAGTAGTGATTACAGCACAATGCACGGACCACCAAACGGGTAACTTATTAATGACATCTTCAGATATGCATTGATTTTCATTTAAAACTAAATCTCAGTTAAGATATCATCCCCAATTCTCCACTCAATTCATCATGCAAAGCTCAGACTGTTTTCTAAAAAAATGGAAATCTTTTCTCATTTTTCATTTTAAACCATAAGCACCCATAAACAGAAGCTTTTTAAATCAAAACCGAAAGTCAATCATCGACAGCTGCTTGATCCGGTTAAAAGCCGGCACGTGTCTTTAAAAGACCAGGAAAAGTGAAAAAGTAAAAACAAGTTAAAAAAAGCAAAAGACCGAACACTAGGTGGCACGTGTGAGACAGGCAATGGGTGTGATAATTGTGAAAATTAAATTAAAAACAAAAATTATCCAGGAATACTAAATAGGCGGTTCTCCAATGCTATCCACTTTCACAAACACAGTTTTAAAAAAAAAAGACAATTTTTTTTACCTGTTTTTGATGCCGCCGGTTCGGGAGCCGTGTCGGTCATTTCCCTATACGGATTTGACGGCGCGGCCCTCCATTGACCTCCGGTCAACTTCCCTCCTCGATCCCGACCATTCACTGGCACGTATCCCGAGATTTGACCAATTTATCTCTTACCACGATAAAATGGTCCTCAAAGCGATATATTGGAAAGAGATTGGGAGTGGCGGGGCACCGAAGTGGATTTCAGAATCCCAGCGACTATTAAGCCTTTGTATTAAAGAAGGTAGATTGCGGGGATTTCTTAGAGAGAGAAAGATTTGATTTCAGAGAAAAAATAAATAATAAAAATAATACTTAAACATTTATAAAAAAAGGTAAAAACAAGAAACTGAAAACGAAAGAGACAGAGACAGATAGACATTACATTACAGCGTATAAAAGCAAGGCCACAGAACAACGGGAACCCTGTTCTTGCCTCTCCTGCCAACAAATTTACCATAGTTGAACTTGGGTTCTCTTCCTTCTCCCTACTTGAAGGTTTTTTTTTTTCTTTCCTTTAAGTTTAGGTTTCACAGAGAAATTTGGCTCCTTTCTGGTTTTTTTTTATTACCTTGAGATGGCCAGAAATGGAGCCGTTACATGGCGGAGGAGGACGGAGAAGATTGACGGCTTCGATCTTTCACCGACTGATTCTGAGGAAGTCTATCGTTGCGTCGATGATAGCCACGTTGATCGGAAAGTCATTGAAAGGTTGCTCAGAATTCCTCTTGCAAGGTTGGTTCCATAATTTCCATTTGTTCCAAAGTAGTTATCTTCTTTACTCTATTTGTTTTTCTTCTTTGGATTTGAATTGAATGAGGTTTGGTTTGAATTGGTGCAGTGACGGCAGTGGATAGTGGAAGGAGAGCTTTGCAATTTCTGGGATTGGATGAGGAGAAAAACAGTAATGGTCTTGATGTGAGTATAATTGAAATAAAATTACAAAATTAAGCTCAATTTCAAAATTATGTCAGTGAATTTTTTAAAGATGAGTTTAGCTGATTCAGAGCTCTGTTGTTTTTGATTCAGGGTCTGAAGGTTGATCTGATTATCACTGACTATTGCATGCCTGGAATGACTGGCTACGAATTGCTCAAAAAAATTAAGGTTAGAAACCTTTCCATTTTCTTTCGAAATTCTGTCAATGGTATTTGAACAGGGCTTAATGTTTTATATGGAAATATCTTATTTTTGAACAGGAATCTTCTGCTTTTAGAGAAATCCCGGTAGTAATCATGTCATCTGAGAACGTTTTAGCTCGAATTGACAGGTATTTTAATATTTTTCATGCCTTAGATAAATGAAAATTGGCTAAGTTTTGTTTTATGTCAGTCGAGAATGGAAGAATCTATACTAATTGATGAGTTTATTCAAATCTTTGATGAACAGATGTTTAGAGGAAGGAGCAGAGGATTTCATAGTGAAGCCGGTGAAATTATCAGATGTTAAACGTATAAAAGATTACATGACGAGAGAGTTCAGAGTGGGTGAAGGAGAAAGAGGAGGAGGAATCAACAAGAGAAAGCTGAGAGACAGCTGTGATCTTTCCTCATCGCCACCGTCCACTTTGTCATCATCACCGGTATCACCAGCATCATCTCTATCATCACAATCTCCATCCCCAACGCCGTCAATTCTATCAGCATCAGCACCATGTTCGCCCTCATCACTAGATTCTCCCACCAGACGTCTCAAAATGACAAGCTCTGAATAGAAATTACGTGATTTTTATCAGGAGCCCATGCCAAGCCCCCCTTCCACCCGCAATTCTCCGTTAGTATTTCAACGGTTTTGTTGCACTTTGCAATCAATTAAGGCCCTTCCCCTCCATTTTACCCTCTTTCTTTTTCTTTTTTTTTTGTACTATTTTTTGTTAATCTATAACGTGACAAAATCGAGTTACGAATCCTAACTCTGATCAACTTAGTCTCTTTTATTTATTTTTAATTTCTTTATATTTTACCTCTGTATATGAATGAAGCCAGTTCAGATGGGTTTGGGGATTTTGAATTTGAAATAAAAAAATAATACTGGTAGTAATAATAATATGATATGATATGATAAGGTGGAGGGCATGATCTTGTTGTCTGCTAGAGAGAGCAGGGAATATTTGGAGGGGGATAGGACTTTGGGAGAGTGTTGGGAATGAGATGGAGATGTTCCCTGAACAAGGGGCTACGTAGGAGTGGGGAACTGCCAGTGTTGTCTGGCTGTCTCTCTGAGAGCGGTATTTTGCTTGCATATGCTCGGCTGTCAAGGGGGACCTAATCCCCAGTTACTTCCATACAACTATTGGACATAGCTGATACTGTAAAGATCTTGGACCCTACGTCTGGATTGGTTGTGAGACTTTGATTGTTCATACTTCATACGACTTCTAGCATGGGAGAGATAAAAGGCTGCGTTTTATGGGCATCATTTGTTTCTAGGTTTTGAAATAAAAAATGTAGTAATAATTGACTTGGGTCTAAACAATTTTCGGATGCAAGTATTTCTAGTTTACTTGAGTTTATATATTTAGAAAGATCAAAATAATAAAAAAAAAAGAACGTATATTCTCATCCTAATAGTCCTCAGATTATATTGTAAGAATAATTTACATGCTATTGAGTGATTGCAAAGAGAAACAATAAAGGGAAACAAACTCCTCTTCTCGTGAAAATCCCCGGGCGTGTCCAAAATCTATATCTGTCCGTCCCTGCCTGGGCCGTAATGTTCTGTTTAAAGACCCTTACAAGGGCCCAAACAAGAGACCAGCAGCGGCCAGCTGGCCTTGCATGTCTTCTTTCCTTTTTGTTGCTAGCCGGCCCAAATTGAAGTTTTATACGTCTCTCTCCCCCCATCCGCGCGCGCACACACTTTTTTTTTCTTTTTCATTTTAAAGATTTTCTCTCTTTAGCTAAAATTGTCATTATGCAATGTTTGGTCCTGGTGCAAGCACTAGAGACCAGGGTGGCGGATACGGCTAGGCAAAAATGATAAAGAAGAATATTCGCTGTTTGTTTGGTTCTGTTACTCCGCGTCTTATAAATTTGGCCCTGAAAGCTCAGTCGAAATATTCTAGGCAAAAGTCTTTAAATTTCTTTCCCCTTGATAGAGGAAATTGCATACGGACAAATTGTTTACTAAAGGTGAAGCTGACGCCTCTGTCATTCTTGTAAATGTTTTAACTGAGAAGTATAATTGGTTAGTTAAGTAAAAGCGAAAAAATAAAATACTTTGTTGCTTTGCCACCAAAAACAATGGATTAGTATCAGTTTAGGGTTTTGTTGCCGTGAGTCATGTGGTTCTTTTTGAGTGGGGGGTGGGCTATGTCACCTGAAGATGACTTATTGATATTTGATACCCCGACATAAAATGTCAGTTCAGTGGCCTATCCTCATCTACGTGTGAACTAAGTACCAAAGATCTGAGGGTCGTACTAATACAGCAATTTCTGAAAACCATGTTGCAGCGGAGACGTCTGCAACGCCCTTGGCCACCCAAAAAAAGAGATGTAGACTGAACCTGAAGAGGGATGGGTAAAGGTTGATTATGGTGGGGCTTACTCTCACAACTCCAATGAAGCTGGAGTACGGTTATCATCAGGAACAAGAAAGAGCTGGTTGGGTCGGCTTTATATCTGATTTCAGTCTGTTAGCAGAAGCATTGGCTTTGAGGGAAGATGTTGGTCTGGTAAAGAGTTGAAAATTAACGAAAGTTATCTTGGATACGGATTCTGGAATTTTATGAAAGGATTTGAAGGGTGAAGGAGGTTCAGCTCATCGGAAGGTGGAACCTGTTCTCAAAAGCATTACAGCTTGGAAAAGTCAGTTTGAAGATTGTTGTTGATTTTACGCACACGTAAAGACTCGCACCAGCAATATAGTAATAAGTAAAGTACGTCCTCACAAGAAATTGTCTAATTTTTTATTAAATAATAAAATTTGTCACTTTAATCTCATTCAAATAACTTTAATTTAAAAATTAATAAAAAAAACTTAAAATAATAGGGCTAAAATAGGGAATTGATGTTAGAAATTGCTAGAGAATCAGTAAATTAAAGTTTAGGATCGTGGAATTATTCTACTGTTCATTTAAATTTAATCTTTTTCTTTATACCTATATCAATGGGTTGGTTGCTAGCTTAGAATTTAAATTTATTTACAAGTTTTTGTCAAGATATTGTAAACATACTTATCATAAATAATTTTTTATATGTTTATGTAAGTTAATTAAGTTAGATTCACTAAGCTTTTACTTTAAATTTGGTTACATATGGTATTTAGGTATATTTTCATTTTAAATACTAATCAAATCACCTAATCTCTAAGTGAAATGAACGCAAGCTATTCAAATTTATGGTTTATTTTAAACTTCTTTTGTCAAGTTACATTTAGAGACTCAAATCAATTTAATTATTGATCAAGCAATTAGAAGTAATAGGCTTAGATTTGAAATAAACAACTCAATAGCCATTAATAATAAGTAAAAGAGAGTTAAAATATCTAAACCATAAGAAGAGATCAATCACAATACTAGAAAATGATATTTAACCCATCATATTTCTAGCAAAGTTCAATATTTTAAAAAAATAAATCATTTCTACAATAAAAGGTAAAGAGAGAAAGAGAACTAGTATGAAAAATGAGTTGTTGCAGTTTTTTGAATCCAATCTTTTTGATTTCTATCCTTTCCTTTTTGGTAGAAAGCTTTCTTTTTTCTCCCAAAAAGTATTCTGCCTCTAGCCTTTTTTTTCTTGAATCAAAAGGTTACCTTTTATACCCCCTATCATAGCCATTTGTTAAAAAAATTGAAGGTCGAAATGCCATTAAATTCGTGTTGGTGCTGCGATGCCAAACACATTGTTTACCCTAGTGCTAAGGCTCGTTTGGCATAGCGACGTCAAAAGGCTGGTGCTACAGTGCCAAACCTTTTGTTTTGGAAGCTTGTTTGGTTGATTAGGTTGGCATTGCGGCGTGGAAGGATTTGAGGCTGTGGTGCCAAGCCTTCTGTCTTGAGTTTGCAACAGTTCTGCCTCTTATAAGATGATTTTTGACTTTGATCTCATTAAAACTTGGTGGAGTGATGAACATGAAAATTGTAGCTTCTCCTCTTAGCATTCTAATAATCCAAAAATCACCTCGATCAGGTTTCTTTAGCTCACATTATGCACAAAGTATAGCAACATGTTTAGCAATTGCTTCAAACCAAATTGTGTTCATCCATTTCCATTTAATTAAGCTCCATCTTCTTGCACACCTTTATCAATAAGAGACTAAATCAGTTGAGGTTGAAATTAGGACTTTTTTAACAAAAAATTAAACTAAAATTTCTTAAAATGAAAAAGTTATAACATAATTGAAACTATTATTAAGAAAGCATAAACTACCCATAAATTACTTAAAAACTAAAGGACTTAACTCTATTTTAGATTCCAAATATGTGTAAGATAACTTTATATAATAGAGTTATCACATCTCTAAACATAATATTTTACTAGTCCTTGAGTAAAACTTAAAAACAACAGAAAAACATGAAAATAGAAAACATTGAACTACAAAACGACTACACCAATCCAATGATCACTTTCATTCCTTGTAAGTTGTCTTATTTCCTCAACTCATAACAAGTAGAAGCATTATTTAAATTTACATATCCTTAAATTGCAAGCTCATTTTCAAATGGAATCTCGTGTGTGTGTGTGTCTGTGTGTAATTTCTTGCAATGAGAATTATGTCATTTAGATAAGTTCATGCTTATGCAAAGAATTTAAACAAATTAAGAATTTCATATGTTTACTCTTCATCTTTCTCTTTCTATTAATGTAGACTAACACTTAATCAAAGATCTTTAAGACTTTATCAAGTTTGTAATGTATGGCTAAGGTCAAGGTAGGATATAGGATAACATATCACTTAAATCACCCTAAACACATAATTAGTCTAGGATCTATAATGAGCTTTATTCTTCACTTCTCCTAGTCACCGTTTTTTTTCCTTTGCTTCACCTTTTCTCATCCATCAAACACTTTATTCTATATATTTTTGTAATTCATATATTCACAATTTAACACCCCTAAACTTATTTCTTTTATGGTAGATAATGGGGTGAATATTTTCATAAAATTTTGAATTTTCCACCACTTCACCTTCTCTACCTTTTTCTTCATTACTTAGCCCAATTACGTTCTTAAAATGATCTACATACTTAGGAGTGATGAGTGTTGAAATGGAAATTTGTTCATAGGCTAGGATTATTTACTAAGTGTTTTATCAAGAAAAGGAAACATTAAGCTCAAAAAGGGTAATTAAGGACAAAATATAGCATGGTAGGCCTAAAAAGCTTAAACGATATATAAATGGCCTAAGTCATCTCCCTAACTAACTGTAGCCTAGGATTTCACCTCGAGAAAAATTAAAACAAATTCTAAAACTCAAGAAATTATTCAAATGTTCACACTTACGTAAACATTCTCTAAATACACATAATTATTCACAGCAAGAAGAATGTGCTCAACATGGTGGAAATTCACATTCTATAAGGGTGCTTAAAAACAAAGTTCAATGTAATTTTTAAACAATATTCACACTTACTAAGAGCACAAGATAATAAGACAACTAATTTTCTTTATTGAATAAGTAGATCAAAAGAAATGGCGTAACTTCTTGTAGTCAACATTTTCTAAAAAAAAAAAATTATTAGAAAATAACAACTTAACTAACTTGGAAACTTAAAAGCATGAAATGTAAAAAACAACTAAAATAGAGTTTAAAACTTAAACACCCCTTAAACTTAAGTCTACTTTGTCCCCAATATTAAGAAAAATTAGGAAAAGGAAACTCCCTTTTAGAATGATTCACTTTTTCCTCCTCCTCCTCGTCCTTATCATCACTTGAATCCTTAGTCATGGGTGGGAAATTTATGATGTCCATCTACAAAGGTATAGTGCAAACACGAAACGTTTGCTCCATGGTTGCCATGTAGCATTCAAAATGCTTCATCTTTTGTGAGATGGAAAGGTTTGGTCAATGTGATGAAGGACTTGGTGGAATAGATGAACTGTAACCAATAGCAGCTGATTCTGAAACGTGGAATCTTTGAACAATTCTTGGATTCAATGGAGCTTTTGGCTGCAACATCACTTCACTGCTGCCCTATTGGACTCTCACTTGCTTGCACAATGCAGTGATGAGTGATGGGTACCATAGTTTTTCTTTAACTGAACCAGTAATGTGAATGATGTTATTAAAAATCAACTGACCAATATTTGTGGGTTTACCTGATACGATGGCATAAAGCAAGACTGCTCTATCCTTAGTCACATCACTTAAATGCTTGACTGGTAATATTTTTGTGACAATTAAGTGGTGCTGTACCTTGTTTTCATTTTATAACACACTTGCCTTGAATG